CGGCATCCAGGACTTCAGCAGGCCGGTGCTCGAAGGCGTGCCCTCCTCGCCCTCCCTTGGCATCGCTCGGACGTGTGCATATTTTCTTCTCGGCGAGAACCATCGAGGAGCATCCTTGATCATTTGGCGAAAAAGCCACGCACGGAACCGAACAAAAGCACAGGGAATGGACGTCCGAGCGATGGCCAGCTCCCCCTCTCCCCCCTCGTCTCACAGAGCGTCGGGGCCTCCGCCGCTTGCTCACCGCAAGCACATAGGGGTGGGAGGGAGGACGGGGGGGCGAGCAGTGGCGAAGCGTCCTGGCTCGCCTATAGCCCTACCAAACAATGTTCTAAGAACCTCTGGTCTCCTCGAAATGTTCTTAGAACAGTTCTGGTTGAGATTGTCTTGTTTCAACACATCGGGTTTAGGCTGTAAGAACACTGTTTTTGATCTTAGAACATTTTTGGGTTCTAGAACATTTCGTGGTAGGCCTATAGGAATGCCTGGACGGTCGGTCCCTGCTCAGAGGATTGTGGGAGGGAGGGGCCGGTGGAGGGGGCCGGAGGGGAGGGGGAGCCACCTCGCCCTCTTTCTTCCTGAATCTCCCCGCCACACCCGGGCCTTGAGAAGAGACTAGCAGCACCCATGGCACATTCATGTGGCAATACTCCTCACCTGCCCTCCAGGAGCAGTAGTGAAAGAATAGCAGCGCCCATGCCACGTTCACGTGGCCCACCTTCCCTCCATGATCAGTGTTGGCGGTGCATCTGGTGACTTGCAGTTCGCCGCGGTCCTCCCAAATTTGCATTGTCTTTGTTTTTTGGGGAGGGTGGGCATATCCCTTACCTGTTTTTCCTCCACTACCGTCGGGGCGCTGAGGAAGGAACCCTTTTCGTTGGGGAGGGGCTCGGTGTTCCTTAGCTGTTTTGTAGTTCGCCTCTGGTTTTGCTTAGGGCTTCGATGGGAAATCGAAGTTTAACTTATGGGAAAAAGGGGCCTCGTTCCTTATTCAGGGTTCCTTAGCTCAACGCCCTGACTGTACCGTTCGTCGCCCTCCAGGAGGAGAAGGAGGAGGAGGAGGAGGCGGAGGAGGAGGAGGAGGAGGGGGAGGAGAGGAGGAGGAGGAGGAGGAGGAGGAAGGAGGAGGAGAGGAGGAGAGGGCGAGGACGAGGAGGAGGAGGAGGAGGAGGAGGAGCGTCCGTCTCTCGACCTCCTTCCTTTTCCGCCCTCGACCCCGGTCTCGGCCTCTCCGCCGCCCCTCCCCGCCGCGCCCCGGCGTCCCCATCGGGAGAGCCCCCCCCTCGCTCGGATCTCTTCCGCTCTGGGGTGGCCCGGAGCTGGGCGCCCAGGGGGCCAGTCCAACACCTGGGGCCTGGGGGGTCGTCCTCCTCCTCCTCCTCCACCTCCTCCTCCTCCTCCTCATCATCATCATCATCATCCACCTCCTCCCTCCTCCTCCTCCTCCTTCTCCTCCTCCTCCTCGTTCTCCTCTTTCTCCTCCTCCTCCCCCTCCGTGGGACTCGGCGTCTGCAGGGCAGAAGGAACCAGGGAACGAAACCATGGATTGAGCGCGTGAGTTAGCGACGGTTCCTGTTTCCATACGGAGTCGGCGCGCCCCGTCGCAAAGTCAGGCGGCACCGGATTCACGTTTCGGCGGTTTTCCCCGATCCGTGGAGTTGGTGCCCACGCGCCAGATCCACGGAGTTGTAGTCCATGTCAGCGCGTACCCAGAAAGAAGTGGGTAGGAGAGATGGGGACGGGAAGAAGATGGATGGAGGAAGGAGGGAGGGAGGGCGGAAAGGGGCGAAGCGGGAGAGGAGGAGGAGGAGGAGGAAGAAGAAGAAGAGCAGGAGGAGGAGGAGAAAGAGGAGGAGGAGGATGGGAGGGTAAGGGGAGGAAGAGCCAGGAGGAGAAGGAGGAGTAGGAAGGCGGAGAGGGAGGGGAATGGGTGGATAGAGGAAGAAAGGCGGGAGACGGGAGGGACGGATGGAGGAGTATTAATTAGGAAGGAGGTGGGGGTGTGGTGTGTGAATGTGCGAGGGAGGGTGGGAGAGGGGGGGAGGGAGGCAGGGGAGGGGAGCCAGCAGGGATGGGGCGGGGGGATTCCGAGCCCGTGGGGCCGCCCCCGCGACCACCGCGCGCGCGCGGTTGCTGAGGCCCCGACGAAGGGAGGCGAACCTTCCTGGAGCACGCGGTAGCGAGCAGGCTTGCAGAGGAGGCTCGGGAGGGGGGGGGGCGGAGGAGGATGTGGAGGAGGAGGACGATGATTAAGAGAGTAGTATTGAGGATTATGAGGGAGGGGTAGTATGATTAGAAGGGGGTGAGGAGGCGGGAATAGTGTAGGAGAGATCGGGAGGAGGAGGACGGGGCTGGGATTTTGCGTAATGGGATGCGGGGGAGGGATGGAGGTGGCTACGGAGTGGTGGCGGGAGGAGTACGCTGGGCGCCACGGCAGGGAGGAATCGGGCAATCGGAGCGTGTGCTGTCTGCTAAGATGACATGAATGATGCTGATGATGATGATGCTGACTTATGCCTGATGATGGATCTCTGATGTATGCTGTTGATGCTGCTTAGTCGTATATGCTGAGGGCTGAGGATGAGGCTGAGGATTTGATGGCTGAGGATGCGTGATGCTGTGCGTATCGGCTGCGGATTCTCTGCGTGAGAAAAATTGAGGATGCGGATGCGGATGAGGAAATGAGGATGGGATTGGGATGGGGAATTGGGATGGATAGGATTCTGCGTGATTATCAGGAATCATGGAGTCAGATCATTAGTCGGATCCGTCTCAGGATGAGGATGAGGATGAGAATGAGGATGACGATGATGAAGATGATGATGGTGCTGATGTTGATGCTGATGCTGCTGCTGACGCTGGTGATGATGAGGTGTAGGAGGATGATGAGGATTATGAGGATGCTGGCGATGCTGTTGATGATGACTATGATGATGCTGATGATGATGCTGATGATGATGGTCATGCTGACGGTGATGGTGATGATGATGATGATGATGATGATGATGATGCTGATGCTGATGATGATGATGATGATGATGATGATGTTGAAGGCGACGATGATGGTGATGGCGATGGTGACGATGCTGACGACGATGATGCTGGTGATGACGATGATGGTGGTGATTGTAAGGATGATGATGTTGGTGATGATGCTGATGCTGCTGATGCTGATGATGATGCTGATGATGCTGGTGGTGATGACGATTCTGATGATGCTGATAGTGATGGTTGTGATGGTAGTGACGATGGTGGTGATGCTGATGATGATGATGATGGTGGTGGTGATGATTATGGTGGTGATGGTGATGGTGGTGGTGATGAGGCTGATGATGATGTTGATGATGATGACGATTCTGATGATGATGACGACGATGGTGATGACGATGACAATGATGCTGATGATGCTGATGATGATGATGATGATGATGATGATGGTTGTGCTGTTGATGATGGTTGTGCTGCTTGTGGTGATGGAAAGGGTGTTCGTGATGGTGATGATGAGGAGGAGGAGGAGGAGGAGGAGAAGGAAGAGGAAGAGAAGGATAGTTAGGTTGAGTACCAACCTAAACCCAGGGTTCATCGGCGATGCCGAAATACACCCTCCCGTCCCGAGTCTCGCCACTGTTCACTGAAGACACTCCTGTGCACTACGGGAGACGCCCCGTTCAAATATGAGAGTCCCATGGGCCAGAGCCCAGCTTTGAAGAGGAACCGCCATTCACGTTGCAGCTGTAATCAAGAAGTGCAACAGGATCTGGTCGTGTCCCTCTTCGCAGCCGGAACATGAAGGGCCGATGTTTTAGAAACTTTCCGCCCTCCATCCATGTAGCCGTTCAAATAGATTTGAGACGACGATGCGTGGCGCGAAGCCAAAACTCTGAAGACCACCTGCCCTCCATCAGAGCAGTTGTCCTGGACAAGTTTCAGACATGCGCGCGGCGCGAAGGCTAGGGCCAGATTCTGAAGACCACCCGCGCTCCGCCACTGTACGTGCAGGACATGCGCGCTCGGAGCTACAGCGAGAGCCAACATCTGGTAACTAGCCGCCGTTGTTTCTTGTAGCTGCTGGAAACATTTTGGACGAGCGTTCGTGGCGCTATGGCGAGAGCCACATGCCGATTAAGGTCCGTCTTCAATCAGAGTAGCTGCTGGGAATTTGAAGCCTCAGGGTCATAGGCTGGGAGGAAGTCTCAGAAGGAACGACCTGCCCGCGCTGCCGACACGCTTGGTGGTGCGTGCGACAAGGAGTTATTCAATCGTTTTGATCACTCCGCTGGTCCATGCTGTCCCATCGCTAGCACTTGCCTGTGTGCTCGCGGGGGCTGACGGCAGTCGTTTCCCCGGGCTGTCGCGTGAAGTTTAAGGATTTCTTTGATGATGAAGGGGGGTCAGCGACGAGGGAGTCTCTCCCTTCCTGTTTCCTCTTCTAGGCTCCCCTCCTCCTCCTTCTCCTCCTCCTCCTCCTCCTCCTCCTCTTGCCCTGCTCCCTGCTTTGGCCCACCCTCCTCCTCCTCCTCCCCTTCTCCTCTCCCTATCCTTCCCTCCTCCTCCTCCTCCTCCTCCTCCTCCTTCCTCCTTCCTCCTCCTCCTCCTCCTCCACTCCTCCGCCTCCGCCTCCGCCTCCTCATCCTCCTCCTCCTCCTCCTCCTCCCTCCTCCTCCTCCTCGCCTCCCCCCCCCTCCTCCTCCTCCTCCTCCTCCTTCCTCCTCCTCCTCCTCCTCCTCCTCCCCTCCCTCCCTCCCTCCCTCCCCCCTCCCCTCCCTCCCTCCCTCCCTCCCTCCTCACCCTCCCTCCCTCCCTCCCTTCCCATCTCTCCTCCTCCTCTTTCCTTCCTCCTCCTCCTCCGTCCTTTCGCCCCTGCCCCCCCCTCGCCCTCCTCCCCAGTTCGTGGCCAAAGCAACCCCCTCCCCCCGCACGAGGCCGCGGGAGAGCCTCCGGGTTGGGAAGCTGCGCCCTCCTCCTCCTCCTCCATCCGGTCCTTCCCGTAGCGCTGGACCCTGCGGTAGTTTTCTTTCCTCCTTCTCCTCCTCCGTGCCCTTGCCCCTCATCCTCCTCCTTCCTCCTCCTCTCTCCTCCTCCGCCTCCTCCTCCTCCTCCTCCTCCTCCTCCTCCTCCTTCGCCCCTGCCCCCCCCCTCGCCCTCCTCCCCTCTCCCTGCCCGCAGCCCCAGGCGGAGGTCGGCGTCCGGATGCAGAGCACCGGCAGGGCCGCGTGGCCGGTGGCTGGCCACGGGATCCTCCTCCTCGGAGGGCACCGGAAAAGGGGGGGACTGGCGGGACTTTTCGAGCGGGCCCTTTCAGGCTTTTTTTTTCACCCCCCATTTGGGCCACCCCCCATTACCACCCGCCCGAACTGTTTGCCTGTAGGGAGCGTTCATGGGCAGCGTCACGGAGGGACGGGCTCAGGAGGGGAAGGGGGGACGTCGGGACGGGCTCTTAGGGGATCGGCTCAGAATGGGGGAGCTCATGGACGGGACAGCTGGGGGCAGTACATGGTGTCGCACACGGGTGCAACATACAGCCGCTGCCCCCCTCGCTCTTGCCCGCAACTTGCGGCGTGCGGCGTGCGTGCGGTGCAACCGCGAGGGCGGCGTGGATATGAATATGCTCGCCGCTCGTGAGGAACCTTCAGGGGCAACGTCAGGGGGGGCGGATAAAGGCTCAAGTCCATGCATCGTCCCTCAATTGCCTATTCATCGCTGATCGGGGCCCGATGGCCCAGCCCTGCCAAGGAGCCTGCGGACTCGCCGTCGAGAGCCAATCTCCGACCTACACTCGGCCCGGATTAGTAGGTCGACCCTGCCAAGTCAAGGGTACAAGGGTACCCTTGTGTCCTGTGCCTCGCGGCCCATGCCTTCTCGCATTCCTATGGCAGCGTGGCCCCCGGAAGGGCCTCGTGTCCTCTCGCGTGTCCTGCCCAGTCAAGTCCGACTGAATCGGTGATGCATCGCCGATTCCAGGTCGATGCCCCCCCGGGCCAATCCCCCCCGTCGTTTCCCCTCCGGTGGGCCCGCGGGGGCCTGGGTTTACCAGCCTGGAACATATCCCTATCCCTGTGCTGGGCATCTCCTCATTACGGTGCCAATCTCAGGGGTCCCCTTATTTAATCGCTTCGCTCATTCCGCCGGCCCATACAGTCTCATGTCTGCCGTTTGCCCGAGGGCCCGGTGTCAATGCGGCGCTTTGGGGGTTCCTGGGGCCGCTTGGGGGACTCCTGGGGCGCTCGGGGGGGCATTTGGGGGACTCTTGGGGCCGCTTGGGGGACTCTTGGGGGCCTCCTGAGGGCCTCGTGGGGGCCTCTTGGGGCCTCTTAGGAGCCTCTTGGGGCCTCGTAGGGGCTTCTTAGGGCCGAGGGCTCGAAATGTTGTTTCGTGTTCCCTCTCTGGGGCCCCTTTGGGGGCGTTCTTGGGGCCCTCTTGGACCGTCTTGGAGGCTTCTTGGGCCGTCTTCGAGCCCTCTTGGGCCATCTTGGGGCCCTCTTGGGGGCCTCTTGGGCCCTCGTGGGGCGATCTTGGGGGCCTCTTGGGCCGTCTTGGGGCGTCGGGAAGCCGAAAAGGTGGAAGCTCCAAAATCTCTCAAAAACCTATGGAAAAACAATGATTTTTGCCTCCGGGGGCCCTATTTGGAGTGCTCTTGGAGGCCTCTTGGGGCGTCTGGGGGCTATCTTGGGCGTCTTGGAGCGATCTTGTGGCATGTCGGGCCCCTCGTGTACCATCTTGGGGGCCTCTTGGGGGCCTCTTGGCCTTTCTTGGGGCTCTCGGGGACGTCTCGGAGCCCTGTTGGTGCGCTCATGGAGCGCTCGGGGGGACCCGGCCGGGACCCGGCCGGGGACCCGGCCGGGACCCGGCCGGGGACCGGCCGGGACCTGGTCGGGGTACTTTTCGTCCGGGGACCCCCAGGGGCCGCCCCGCGCGCGCGAACTAGAAAATTGTTAACCAGTTACCGGAGATCTTAGCACGCCTCTGGCCCGTTGGGCCGGCGAATTTTTTGAGGGCGAGTCCCTAAGATTGTCATCTCCGTTTGGCAGGGGTAGGGATACGTTCGAGGCTGGTAGAGTGGGTCCTCCGCGGGGGCGGCGCGAAGAGGATCGCGCCTCTCGCGTGCCGCGGTCTGGGCCGGAGCGGCTGCCCCGCTCCAGGGAGGCGGCGCGGGGGCGCGGAGAGAACTGCCCGTCGCGCATCGCGGGGCGCGAGGCGGGAGATTGCCCACTCCAGATTTCGTAAGAAAGGGAGGGGGGTCTCATTTCGGGGGTGGGTCTCTTCCAGGCTATCTTGGAGGGCCTGGGGGGTCTGGGGACAATGTTTTGGAGGGTTCTCCCACGGGGGAGGTCTGAAATGGCTTGTCTTGGAGGGTCCAGACCCCCTCCCTTTTATGACGAAATCTGGAGTAGCATCTTCCCCGGGTGGAGGGCAACGGGGTGAAATTCGAGACGCCGTCTCGACTGATCCTCGAGGTCTGAGTCTGCAGAAGGGGAATTCACGAGACGGATTGAACGTCGAGGTGCAAAAGCCCATTTGGATTTCACCCTGAGCCCTCCATCCTTCAGAGCGTGAATTACCTACCCCGCTTTCGCTTCCAGGAAAAAACAAGTCATACCACGCACCTCCTCGTCAGGTGGCCTGACCAATACACGCCGTAGTTTGGCATCGCTTGGTATCTCTTGGAAGCGAGGGTGGTCAAAAGCGAGGTAGGTTTGTTTGCTCAGAGTTGGGTGGCTTGCCGAACCGACAGCACGCCCGCGCGATGAAGCAGCGTCGCACTGCCATGGTTGCCACGACTCGCAGGCGCATGTGCTCATGGCTTGCGTGGGCTCCTGCACGGAGAAGCATGGGTACGTTACGCAGGCGTGCGGGTGACGACGCATCAGCGCATGGGAAGGACACATCGATCATCGATTCAGAGTGACGGCTGCGTATTCTATTGGAATACATGGAATTTTGACGGGCAGAATGAGCGAGTCGTCCTTTTCATGATTGTACATTCGTGTCGAGTCGACACAGTGGCGACACCGGCGCGGGCGTTCAAGCTGCAGCGACGTTAGTGGCCCTGAATCGGCCGACAATGAACGATCCGCGCTATCGGAACGTTGCAATCGTTCATGGTTGAATGATCCACGCGGTGTCAGAAACCAACGCCCGGGTCGTCGCGCCACGAATATGCCGTACAGTGCTTCCGCAAGAGGGGAGGGCGAGGGGTACCCGGATTGGCGGGTGCAGCGCCAGTCTGTCAGGTGGCCTACGTCGCCACCAGGGTGTTCGCCAGCTTCCCGGCCACCGAGCGCATCTTCTGGGGAGTCATGTGCAAGGCTGGGCCGCGGAGCCACGGGGAGGATCCGCGGCGCGCGCGGGGGGAGGGGGGGCGAGGGGGCGGGGCCTTCCAGGAAGGCGATCGAGGGGCTCCACAGAAGGCCCTGTGCCTCCTCAGAAGGGCCCGGGAGCTTCGGAAGGCGGCGTCTCCGTGGCCGAGGAGAGCTTCTTAGAGGGCCCCCATATGCCTTCTCTGAAGGCCGCCCCCCCCCCCCCGCTCCCCGCCCCCTCGTGTGCGCCGCCAGGAGGAGGAGCAGGATGAGGAGGGAGGAGGTGAAGGACGGGGGAGGAGCTGGAGAGAGGAAAGAGACAGCAGCTGGGAGGGGAGGACAAGAAGGGAGGAGGGGAGGGAAGGAGGGGAGGAGAGGGGAGGAGAGGGGATGGGGAGGAGAGGCAGGAGGCGGGGAGAAGAGGGGAGGGGAGGAGAGGGGAGGGAGGAGGGGAGGGGAGGAGGCAGCAGCTGAGAGCCGAGAGAGGAGAAGGAGAGGCACGTGCGAGGGCGGATCGGGGCGCGCAGGGGAGGAGGTGGACGAGGTGGAGGAAGCGGAGGCGGTGGAGGGGAGAGTGAACGTGAAGGGTGGGAGGGCGGAGCTCCCTATCGAGTCAGCGCGCCCAGTGAGGACGCGCGCCCTCGTCCAGGGTGCCCTTGGGCCCTGGCATCTGCGGCCCGTCGTCTGCCCTTTCGCTGGTCGCCCACCGCCCCAAAGATCCCAAATTCAGCCTCCAAGGGTCTTGCGTTCTTGCCATCCGTCCTCAATGCACGTTTTAACCCTAGGCCACGATCCTTGTGAGGTGCCTTGCGGAAGTGGGCGCGGGGACGGCATGCGAACGCACCCACCGGGCCGCAGGTGGAGCTTCCCAGGGGGGCCCGAAGCGTGTGAGGAGCGCGCCGGCAAGCAGAGGCAGGGAGACAGGGAGGACGCGGCAGAGAGCGAGCGGGTGGGGGCACCAGGAGGAGAAGGACGTGATTACGTAACCCATGCCGCGTGTCCATGTCCAGCTCCCGGGGCGGCGCTGCCGCGGCACTGCTCAGGGCGACTCCGCGCGCGTGGTGGCCTGGAGTCGGTGCGGCATCCTAGACATCGCGCGCCGCGGAGCGGAAGGGGGGAGGCGAAGAGGGACCAAGGCGGTGGTGAAGGAGGGCCAAGGCCAGGCAAACGGTGTGGCCAGTCAGCGGTGTGGTCTGGATTCTACTTTCTGCGGCAGTCCATCTCCGCTGCGGGCACTGGCTGGGCAACACGATGCCTCCCGAGAAAAAACGCAGGCTGGTTCACACGCCAATCTCTCAGGAGGGGGGAAACACACACAGGCACAATTAATCGTCATTCCCAGGAGAATATGGGAAAATATTGGAAAATAGGGGGGAGACGAAAACCCAGACATGGCAAATATGGGCAATCCTGGGATTAGTGTGTATTTATTCTCTTGCGCAGGGTGCCTAGAGCTCCGACCCTTCATATCGGCACGGCACCCCCTCAATCACCCACACATTCCACCAGCCAGCGCGCCCCCTCCGCCCCGACCCCTTTTATTTCGGCACGGCACACCCCTCCGCCCCGACCCCTTTATTTCGGTACGGCACGCCCCATCCGCATCCCCCCCACCTACCAGCCAGCGCGCCCTCCGCCCCGACACCTTTTATTTCGGCACGGCACACCTCTCTGCCCCGATTTTTTTAAATTCCGGCACGGCACACCCCCTCCGCATCCGTCCCCCGCCCGCCAGCCAGCGCGCCCCTCCGCCTGGACCCTTTTATTTCGGCACGGCTCACCCCTCTGCCCCGACCATGTTATTTCGGCACGGCACACCCCTTCCGCATCCCCCCACCCACCAGCCAGCGCGCCCCCCCGCCCCGACCCCTTTTATTTCGGCACGGCCCCCCCCCTGCATCCTCCCACCCACCAGCCAGCGCACCCCCTCCGCCCCGACCCTTTCATTTCGGCACGCACCCCCCCCGCGCGCCCCTTCCGCCCCGACACTTTATTTCGGCACTGGCACGCCCCTTCCGCCCCGACCCTTTTATGCGGCACGGCACCCCCCCCCCGCATCCCCCCACCCACCAGCCAGCGCGCCCCTCCGCCCCGACCCCTTTATTTCGGCACGGCACACCCCTCCGCCCCGACCCCTTTTATTTCGGCACGGCACACCCCCTCCGCCTCCCCCACCCACCAGCCAGCGCGCCCTTCCGCCCCGACCCCTTTATTTCGGCACGGCACACCCCTCCGCCCCGACCCTTCTCGGCACGCCACACCCTTCCGCATCCCCCACCCACCAACCAGCGGCCCCTCCGCCCAGACCCCTTTCGATTATATTTCGGCACGGCACACACCCCCGCACCCCCCCGCTTACCAGCCAGCGCGCCCCCTCCGCCCCGCGACTTCCTTATTTCGGCACAGCCCCCACTCCCTCCCCGCGCGCCTGACGCCCCCCCCCACCCCCACCCACCCACTCACAAGCCAGCGCGCCCCTCCGCCCTTATTTCGGCACGGCACGCCCTTCCGAACCGACTCCTTGATTCTCTTGCACGGAGTGCCCAGAGCTCCGACCACTTTATTTCGGCACGGCAACCCCCTCCAACACTCACCCATTCCACCAGCCAGCGCGACCCCGGCGCGCACTCACCCCCCCCACCCACCAGCCAGCGCGCCCCCCCTCCGCCCCGACCCTTTCATTTCGGCACGGCACCCTCCCATCCCACGCGCCCCTTCCGCATCCCCCCCACCCACCAGCCAGCGCGCCCCCTCCGCCCCGACTTTTTAATTTCGGCACGGCACCTCCCTTCACCACCCACCCAGACCACCATCCCCCCACCCGCCAGCCAGCGCGCCCCCTCCGCCCCGACACCTTTATTTCGGCACGGCGCCCCCCACCCAATCCCGCGCGCCCCCTTCGCATCCCCCCACCCACCAGCCAGATCGCCCCCTCCGCCCCGACTTTTTCATTTCGGCACGGCGATCCCCTCCATCCCGCGCGCCCCCTCCGCATCCCCCCCACCCACCAGCCAGCGCGCCCGACTCTTTTGTTTCGGCACGGCACCCTTCCCCATCCCACGCGCCCTCTCCGCATCCTCCCACCCACCCACCCACCAGCCAGCGCGCCCCTTCCGCCCCGACCCTTTCATTTCGGCACGGCCCCCCCCCACCCACCCACACCACCATCCCCCGCCCACCAACCAGCGCGCTCGCGCGCCCCATCCTCCCCGACCCTTTTAGTTCGGCCCCCCCCCCCATCCCACGGGGCCCTTCCGGATCCCCCCCACCCACCAGCCAGCGCGACCCCTCCGCCCCGATTTTTTTTATTCGGCACAGCACCCCCCATCCCGCGCGCCCCCCCTGCATCCCCCCCACCCACCAGCCAGCGCGCCCCTTCCGCCCCGACCCCTTTTATTTCGGCACGGCCCCCCCCCCATCCCGTGCCCGCCCCCCCCCGCGTCCGCCCACCCACCAGCCAACGCGCCCCTTCCGCTCCAATCCTTTCTTGTCGGCACGGCACTCCACCCCTCCCCCCGCACCCACACCACCATCCCCCCACCCCACCAGTCAGAGCGCCCCCTCCTCCCCAACCCTTTTTATTTCGGCACTGCCCCCCCCAATCCCACGCGCCCCCTTCGCATCCCCCTCACCAGGCAGCGCGCCCCCTCCGCCCCGACCCTTTTATTTCGGCACGGCGCCCTCCTCCCCAATCCCGCGCGCCACCTCCGCATCCCACTCAAACACCAGCCGGCGCGCTCCCTCCGCCCCGACTCTTTCATTCTCTTGCACAGGGTGTCCAAGAGTTCCGACGACTTTCTTTCGGCACGGCACCGGTCGATGCAGCCCTTCGGCCCGCGCCTCACAGCGCGCCCCCTCCGCATCAACTTTCTAAAGCAGCCGTGCCGAAGCAGCCCCCTGGCCCCCCCGCATCCTTCCCCCACCAGCCAGCGCAGCCAGCCCGCCAGCCAGAGCGCCCCCTCGGCGCCGGTCCCACCAGCCTTCTCACCCCATCCGCCCCGACAGCTTGATTTTGGCACGGCGACGGCCCCACCAGCCAACGCGCCCCCTCCGCCCCGACTGCTTTACTTCGGCACAGCACCTGAGGACGAGGAAGGATAGGCGGGAGGGCGTGGGGGGAGAAGGCGCATGCTGCGGATATCGTTGCAAACCAGGTCCGTCCAGGCCAGGATATCCTCGACCATTCGGTGCCGTTCTCGCCCCGTGCACCCGTGGGCAGGCCACCTCCGCTGCGCCACGCGTTCCTGTTGCCGCGCGCCGCCTTCCGCTGCCCCACGTGCGAAGTGCACCCCCCCCTCGCACTGCCCCCGTGGCAACGGGGGGCTGCGGCGGGGGCCGACCCGCACGCCCGCCCTCGGCGCTCGTGCGCGACGGCGCGCGCGAGCGGGAGGGGCGGACTTCTCGGGAGGGGGGCGTCTCGGAGGCCCCCTCCCCCCGAGGCCTCTGAGAAGCCCGCCTCTAGGCCCCCGAGCCCTCCCCCCCTCGGAGGCCTGCCGTGCCCTCTCTGCGCGCCGCCCCCCTCGCCCCGCGCCCCCTTGCGCGCGGCGGCGGCGGCCCCCCGTGCGGGCGCTCAAGGCTCAACGCCGCTGGTGTCCCAGCATCGGCCGACGTCGAGCGGCCGAAGCTGTCGGACAGCTGTCGGGGCGCCCGAGGTGGAGCGGTCCGCGCGGTGCGGGAGACGTGCCGCACAGCGTCGTCACGGCACGAGCCTGCCGCGGGTGTTCCAGGCACGCGGCGGCGGAGGCCGCGCGGTGCGCCCGGCACCCGCAGAGCGCCCCTGGTTGCTTGGCCGCCCCTTCGGGCTGCCCCGCGCCAGTGGGGCGGCCCCCTTGCAGGTGCCGCGCTCGTTGCGCAGTGAGGGCGCCTCGTCGGGCATGCCCTGCCCCGTCGGGTTCTCCGGGGCCCACTCTGCGCTGAGGTGGGGGAGCAGGATGCGGCAGGAAGGGGAGAGAGGAGGAGGGGGAGGAGGAGGAGGAGGAGGAGGAGGAGGAGGAGGAGGAGGAGGAGGAGGAGACAAGGAGGAGGCAAGGAGGAGGCGAGGAGGAGGCAATGAGCAGGAGGGGGCTAGAAAGAGGAGGAGGCTAGAAAGAGGAGGAGGCAAGGAAGAGGAGGAGGAGGAGGAGGAGGAGGAGGAGGAGGAGGAAGAAGAAGACGGCGAGGCGGAGACGGGCGTCCAGGCCAGGCGGCGACGCCAGCGGCGGCGCTGTGCAGATGAGGCGCCGGGGAGGAGGAGGCGGCGGTGGCCCGGAGCGCTGGGCGGATGTCGCGGTGGACAAGCGCGTCATGGCAGTCCCCGCCGCGTTACCGGGCATCCGCTCCTCCTCCTCCTCTTTCTCCTCTCCCTCCTCCTCATTCGCCCTCCTTCTCCTCCTCCGCCTCCTCCTCCCGCCTTCTCCTCGTAGTTTTACAGGCCCCAGCTGGCGCACCCCCGCTCCCCCGGGGCTCGGCCGCCGCTGAGCGGTGAGCCCTTCCCGCTCCCGATCAGAGTGCTCGGGCGGACGCGCGTCCGCGCGCAGGAGCAGGAGCAGGAGCAAGAGACGCAGGATGCACAGCAGCAGCAGCAGCAGCAGCAGCAGCAGCAGCAGCAGCAGCAGCAGGTGGATTGCTGGCAGTGGCAGCAGCAGGCGGAGGGAAGGGGCAGGAGGAGCAGGCGAAGCAGGAAAGGGCGGAGCCGGAATGCCCCGCGCTGCGGCCGTCACAGCGGGAGGGAGGCCTGCCCGTATTTGATCCCCGACTTCGCCGGGGCCTCAGGGCCGCCTGGGGCGCCGGACCACCCACTTCCTTCCCGCCCCCCCTCCCTCGCTCTCCCTTTGTCTCCGTCGTATCCCTCCCTCCTTCCCTCCCCCCCTCCTCTCCCTGCAGCTGCTCCTCCACCTCCGGCGGGCCGCACATGTCCGGCTGGACCGACGCCCGCCTTGCAGACTGTTGCAGGGCGACCGTGCGGCAACACGAGCAAAGCCACTGCACAATCTCATGACTGGGTGCGCCCAACCCTTCTGTCCTCCCTCCTCTTCCTGCGCCTCGGTTTCCTCCTGCCCTCGGCGGCCACCCTCAGCCACCCCTGCCTCTTGCGAGGCGCGGGCCTTCTGATGCGAGGCCAGCGCCGTCTGGGAAGCAGCTCCTTTCAGGAAGCCGTCCCCCTCCCCCTGCCCCCCCCCCCTCCCCCCCCATTCTCTGCGCGCCGCGGCCACTGTCCCTTGCTCAGGCCTCGGGTGCGGCAGGGAGGCGGCGCCTCCAGGCCGTGCGGCGATCGGTGCCCCTCCCTCTGCCCGCGCCCTGTGCTCCCCCGCCCTGTTCTCCTCCCCTGCCGTCGTCGTCGTCGGCGTCGGCGTCGTCGCCGACGGACGGTTGACGCTCAGCACAGCAGGCGCACGAGATCTCCTCGGAGGCGCCTCTTTCGTCAGGCCCGATACTTCGCCGCCCGTTCTGGACGGACGATGCCAGCACCCACCCCGCCACCCGCCATGCGTGGACCAGCGTGTCCGATTCGTAGAAGGCAAGTTGCACTGCTGATGCGTTCCCTTCTTCCTTTCCCTCCTACTACACAGCGGCTTGACCTCCTCTTCCTCCTCCTCCTCCTCCCACTCCTCCTCCTCCTCCTCCTCCTCCTCCTCCTCCTCCTCCTCCTCCTCCTCCTCCTCCTCCTCCTCCTCCTCCTCCTCCTCCTCCCTCCTCCTCCTCCTCCTCCTCCTCCTCCTCCTCCTCCTCCTCCTCCGCTGGCTCACCTTGCATCCTCCAGCTGTTTTGTTTTCCCCATCCTCCTCCTACCCTCACCCTTCTCCTCGGCGGCATCTTCGTCCTTACCTGAACGCGTCCTCCTCGTGATCCTGCCCCTCCTCTTCCTTCTTTTTCACTTCCAGTTCCTGTCCATCCTCCTTCCCACCGCCATGCTCCTCCTCCCGCTCCTTCTCCCCGGTGCTCCTGAGTGTGATCGGCCCGGCTGTGTCTCTCTTCCTCCTCCCCCTTTCCCTGCCCTTTCCGCCCAAGATTTTAGCGCTGCCGGTGGCCAGCCGGCTTCGACGCGAGGCCCCGCAGCCGCCAAGACAGAGCCCGCCGCCGGTCTCTCCCGCCATGGCGCCCCGGAGCCCTCTCCTCGTGCGCGCGCTGGGCGCGCTCGCGCTCGTCGCCCTCGGGGGCAGGAGCGCCAGCTTCGTCGGGCAGCCCGCGCCCGGCTGCCAGCGCGGAGGGCGCGTGGCCGCGCGAGTGAGCGCGGAGTACCTGGAGCGCTGTGGGCCGAAGGACTTCAGGGGAGAAAGAACACACACACACAGACACACTTAAGATCGTCGATCCCCCAGGAAAGATGGAAAAAATATGGGAAGTGGGGGGGGAGGCAAGAGCCCAGAACGTGTGGGGAAAGATGGGGAATCCTGTTACTTGTGTGTATTTATTTGAGTGTCCCAGGGCCCCTTCAGGATTCGACGAAGGAGAAGCTGAACAAATTCGAAGCTTTCGGAGGTCCGCGAGGATTTCTCGGACCCGCGCCGGAGCCCCTGCGGCGCCTCCGGCGCCGCCTTCGGCGCGCTCCGTGCGCCAGCGAGGGGGTCTTGCGCCGATTTCAGAAGTCCGTGCGGACCTCCGAGAGTCTTTGTTTGTTGGTCCTCCTGAGGACGCGGACGTTGCATTCGATGCCTCGGCCGCCACTGGCCCCGGCCCCACCGTCACCTACAAGAAGCGCCCCTTTGGCATTCTGCGCTACCAGCCGGGCAACGGCATGAAGGGCGCGATGGCCATGGAGGTGATCCCTGTCTCCCGCTACCCGGGGGACCCTCAGGGGCAGGCGTTCGCCGCTGGCGTGGCGGGCGGCATGGTGGTGAAGTCCATCGCCGGCGAGGAGGTGCTGACGGAAGACTTCGGCAAGATCATGGACTTGCTCGACGACGAGGTGGCGGATCCGCGCTTCTCGAAGTCCACCGCGCTCGCCCTGGAGAAGCTGGGGAGGAAGGCGGACGCCGTGGAGACGCCCCTCGAGGTGGTCTACGCGACAGTGCCGGGCTACGTCTACGCGGGCGCCGAGATGAAGGCTGACGGCCAGGACGGCTTCGCCCGCTGAGGGCGCTACATTGTGACCGGCAGCCTCGCGGGCGCAGGCGATTAGCGGCTGCGCCGCCGCTCGATCCGCCGTCGATTTTTCTCAGCGCCCCTCCGCCTGGCTTTTCCGAACAGAGACTCCAAAGACTGATGCACCCATCGTACGCGCCCGCTCCAACAGAGGCATCGGCCATCAGGGAGCCGCTCTGCAAGGGCAGGCATGGAAGAGATGTCAGGGCAGCGGGCCTGGACCCTGCTCCCGGATAGCTCTCTGAGAGATAAGAGCCCAGACCCCCGACGTCATGGTTTTTTCATGACGTCGACCCCCCGAGGTCTCGACCCATTCCCCGGGACCGGTTTTTCGTCCTGAGTCGTTTTGTTGACGGTCCCGAGGGCCGGCAAGTGCCCCCAAAGGCCAAAAATAATGAAAAACCTCCCGTCGTGAATTTGTCATAACTCGGGGGGGTCTGGGAGGGCTTCAGATTAGAATGCCGGCACCGCAGGGTAGCCCCGGGGCTCGTCTTGGCTACCGGCAGGACGCCTCCGAGCAGTTCCCGCGAGCCCGCGGCGTGTCGGACGGCAGACCTCGTGCAATGGTTTCCCAATGCGTGTGCCGTCAAGCTTTCCAGGAGCCCCTTTCGCAGGCCTAGAGATTGACACCAACACCAACTTCGGCGGTGTGCCTCCACCGAGGGAAGAAGATCCCGATCTCGGTGATGGTGGTAATATTCTGGCTTCCAAGGTGGCCGAACTATTGCCACCAACACCAAAAATCTAGGATCACCTTCCCCCTGTGGAGGCAACCCCCTGTCTTGGTGTTGGTGCCAATTTCCAGGCCTCCGACCCTTTCCAGAGTTTCAAGAGCTCCTTCGGTGCACCTTCCAGAAGCTTCTGTCGCCTCCTATCTCTGGTTTTGGGATACCACGAGCGGATGTGCATGCTCACGGGACGAAGGTGTCGTGGAAGTTCTCGGGGGCCGCCGTCTTTCTCTTGAACCCTGGGTCCATGCCGAGTGCGGCGAAGGGGAGGAGGAGGAGGAGGAGGAGGAGGAGGAGGAGGAGGAGGAGGAGGAGGAGAAGACGAAGGAGACGCAGGAGGAGGAGGAGGAGACGGAGGAGGAGGAGGAGGAGGGAAGGAGGAAGAGGAGGAGGAGGAGGAGGAGGAGGAGGAGGAAGAGGAGGAGGAGGAGGAGGAGGAGGGGGAGGGGAGGCAAGGGAGGGAGGGAAAGAGGCAAGTGAGAAGGCAGGGCCCAATTCCAGGGGGGGATGCCTCGGAGGAGCCTTGGACCGCTCGCTGAGTACACTTGCTGGGGCGGCGGTTCGGTGGCCCTCTGAGCGGCACACTTCCTACAGCACGCACGCAAGGAACAAAGTTGCAGGAAGGTCACTTGAGACAGCTTTTACACCCCGCAGCAGAAGCACATCACTACCTACAGTGTGCAGAAGCCCGCCCTCGCTCCCCCTGGGGGCTCCCTCCTTCTCCCGTGCACTGTGACTTCCCCCAACCTCTTCATTCCCTCAAGCAGCCCATGCCTACAGCAATTTTTTGGTCATGCCGCTTCGGTTCCGTTCCCGACCAGAGGCCTCCCAGAGCCCGTCGGTTGCGCGCAAGAGAGGAGACACGTGCGCGACAGGCAGAGGGCTTCTCTGGCAGTCCCGACGGAAATGGGTCCTGAGGTTCTTCGCTGTGTTCGTCTTCCCGGGTCCCTTCCGGGCCCAGAGATTGTGAGACATCGGCTCAGGTCGAGAGATTTTATTGTGAAGGCCTGACGGCCAGTGCCGCCGACCCTGTAAGACATCGGCGACGACCAGGAGGGGGAGGAGATGGAGAAGGAGGAGGAGGAGGAGGAGGCGGAGATAAAGAGGAGGAGGAGGAGGAGGAGGAGAAGGAGGAGAAAAAGGACTCCCCTCTGGGCCCCCCCCCAGGGGAGGAGGACCGGAGGAGGACCGGCGCGGGAGAGGGGAGGGCAGGGGGAGGAGGACCTCCAGGGACGGATGCGTATTAGACTCCCCCCCCTTGGGACTCCTCCCCACCTGGGGAGGTGGACCCGAGGAGAACTGGCCCGCCGGAGAAGGACCGGCGTGGGGGGAGAGGAGGACCCCCAGAGGCGATGCGAATCTGGCCCCTTCCTGCCTCCCCCCTGGGACCCCCCCCGGGGAAGGGACAAAGGGAAGTGGCTTCCCTTTGTCGTAGTGAGGACGTGGACGGAATTCCCTCAAGCTGCGAACCCGTTCCCCGAACGAGGAAGGGTACTCGCTCTTTCTCTCCCTCCCCCGACGGGAGAGGAGGATGGGAAGGAGGGGACGAAAGGAGGCTCCCCGTCGACGGGACCGGACAGACACTCCACGCACGCCGACAGGGTCGGCGGACTTGGTTCCTGGGGGGTGGCTCCTGGGGTCGGGGACCTGAGAAATCGGCTCTGGTCGAGAACCTGGTCCTGGGGGAAGGTCCCTGGTGGCCTGGGACCCCCGTTGCCCTCAGTCCGCGGACGACGCGTGCGCGCCGTGATTACCGCGCTGGCGTCTCCCGAGGCGGCGCCGATCCTCGACCCAGGACGGGCGATTACAGTTCACAGTTTGTGCTGGCCCTCGGAGCCAGACGTCTACACGCCGTGCCGCCTCGGAGCGGGGCCTGCAGGGAATGCAAGCACGGTGCGGGGCACGGGCGCGGATCTCGTTTCCAGGGCCCCTCCTGTTTCAGGCCCGTC